ACAGAAAGGCAGCAGAGGCTGGAAGCCGGCCTGGCCCAGCCCATCATGGAAATCACTTCCAAATTTAAGCTGTTTTTACCAGGTGATGATCCTTCAAGCCTCAGAACAGGTCCTACCCCACAGGGATAAAGATGTGATTTGCCACTGCTTTCTAAATGTGCGGTTTAGAAGAGAAAGGGATGAAATGTGGCAAACACAGCTTCTCAGAGGAGTGTTCTTACATCTGCTCCTCGCTGAACAGGGAGGCTGGGAGGTGGCTGTGGGAGCAGGGGTCAAGCGTGGAAACGGGGATGAGGACCGGCCACGCGTCCTTCCTGCAGTCTTCAGCCCCACTGGGTGGGAACAGTGTTCCACCCAGAGCTGCACAGGACCAAGTGCCTGACCTCCCAGGCCAAGTGGGATGTCCACCCGCACGCATGTGCCCCTTGGCTGCCTTTAGGCACAAGAGAAATAAACTTCTCTCCTGCCCACAGGAAGGCGCCACTTATTATTTACCGAGTTACACCAGTTACGCTTAGCCAGGAAGTTACACCATATTGAAAGGAGGCCACTTCCTGCCTGGATGGCAAGGATTCCACACTGCACGACAGGAAGTCATCCCAGCTCTGGCCCCGTGTGGCAGGTGGGGTAACACCCAGGGGGGCAGAAGGGAGCTGGACCAGGAGGGAGGCCAGCAAGTGATGCTGCCCTCCTTTGTGAATGTGAGGGGAGAGGATTCAGCACCAAGAGGCTGCGACGCAGCTATCTCCTCGCCAGTTCCAAGGTAGAAACTCTCTCCCAGTGGTGACAGTGCCTCTGCGAGGCAATTACGGCCTGAGTGGGTCCATGCCCTTATGAGATGATGCAAGGGAGCTGGTGAACTCTTTCCCTCGAGAGGACAGTGGAAGCCACCAACGGCCATCACCAGAGCCCAGTGTCAGACCCAAGACTGCAGAGCCACGATGAGCACACGTGTGTGCTTCAGCCACCCCGCCCGTGGGGTTCTGTCACAGTACTCGGGCTGCAGAGACAGAGGTCACCCTGGTCTTCCCTGGTGATGGTGCCAGCAGAGGCTTGCACTTACAGATGGCACGAGGACAGCAGAGACCCACAAACCCCAGGGCGCCACAGCCTACGGTGACGTGACAGTTGAGTGATGCCGTGGAGAAGAAGTAGCTTGGGCCCCACGGAGATGGAGGGCCACTCCCCGCTCACACCCAGTCCCTTGCTGGCTGGGGACCTCAGGGTGGGCACTGGCCCTGTGGCTCTTCTGTCACCTCTAAAGCAGTGGCCACAGTCAATGTCTTCAGGATCCAGCTGCGTCCTTGGGTGGCTCCCTGTCACTCCAGGGTCCTCCCTCTCCCGTCCAGCCCTGAGGGGCATGCACAGGTAGTGAGCCACCCACGCAGTCCTGAGCATAGCAGGGTGGCCTGGAACTCTGCAGGGAAGGCCAGTCCCCTCCGAGACACCCAAGTGGGCTTTTCCATCCTGTCTTCACTTTGGCTGTGCCTCTCCAGGGCGTTAGATTCTGCACACCTTCAGGCAGGATGAGCCTGGCCTGCCAGCCTCCCTTGATCAGGTCCAGGGGTGGGAGGCCTGGCAGGCTCTGCTCCTGGGCTCTCTGCATCTCCGAAATGGGAACCATTCTCTGCCCACCCAGACACAACCCAGGCTGTGTATGCCATGTGCAGCACCCCATCCGCCGTGCTCACACTGACCACGTTCCCAGAGTGTCTGGTCTCTCCCGAGAACGGGCCAGCCCTGACCCATGGTCACATGCAGACCCCAAGGGGCCGGGGGCTCTTGCTTCATCCGCCCCGCTGTGCCTTGGTCTCTCTCTCCAAGGTGAGCGATAGCAGCGCTGACCGCTACTCAGAGGATGAAATGAGATTTATAGCCGTGACCGCGCCCTGCACAGTGGGGCTGCAGACAGCTGCCCTCCCTGTCCCGAGACCAGAAGCAGCGATCCAGGCGTAGTCGGTACACGTCCTTCCGAGGCTCCGGGTGAAGCTCTCCCACGTGGACACCAGTGCACTCCTGGCTTGTGGCTCCATCTGCCTAGGTGGTCCCCCTGCCTCCTCCCATGCACCCCACATCATCCTCCCGTGTGGCGCTTGTTAATATCTGTGCTTCTCGTTTGCTTAGAGGAACCGGGTCATGCTGCAAAGGCGCTCATCTCACCCTGATCAGAGCCACAAAGGCTCCATTTCCACCGGAATGCACGCTCACCCGTGCCAGGTGTGGGGACACAGACAAGAGTTCCTGGGGCCCGGCTCGGCCCGTGACACCATCTACAGCTGTGCCGTTCAACAGGGTCAGTGACTGCAGCTTCCCACCTGTCCGAGCAGAGCAGGAGGCCAGAGGACGCAGACCCGGGCAGGGGTGCGAGCCTGGGGCAGCAGAGCCGGGACCCATCCTCCCAGGGCTGCCCGAGGACTCGGAATGGCCACAGCTCCAGGCCTGCGCCTCTCCCTCAGTTCCTGCTGCTGGAGGGACAGGGTCTTGGGGCCCTGCAGGGTAGGGACAGATCTGCCTGCTGGTGTCTGGAGTTGCTTGGAGGAGTCCGCGACTGGGCCTGGGCCACACCCCTGCTGCCTAACTTCCAGGAAGCTGCCCAGCCCTCCTGAGCCTCTCCCTTTCCCCACAAAATCACATCAATGCCGGCCATCCAGGTGCTCGGCCAAGTGACCGCAGGTGAGGGGACCAAGCAGCCCCATCGCACTAGCTCTGCCGTGAGCAGACATTTGCTCTCTGCAACACAGGAGTGTCCCAAGGCGGGACTTCGGCCGGGTCCCCAGCTCATCCTGAGTGCAGGGGAGGGAGTGGGGGGCTGGGCCATGGAGCCCTTGTCCTGTCTCACTCAGGACAGGCTGGTGGGGTGGCGGGGGACTCTGGGACCCAGCACACTCCTGGACCCTTGGATCAACGTGGTGGTTTTCTGTTGAAATGCGCACGCCTCTGTGTGTGTGTGTGTGTGTGTGTGTGTGCATGCGCGCGCGTGCATGCTTTTAGTATTCAATCCAACACTGACACCGATACATTGAGCAAGATGAAAATTCACATGAATTTTTCACATAAAACATGACACTCGAGAGCGACACCGTGCCCAGCAGCCCCTCAGGCCTTCACAGCACCTGCGCCCTTGGGCTCCGGGGGCAGAGTTGGAACTGCACTTCCGGCCTGTGTGCATGCGCGTGCGTGCATGCTTTTAGTATTCAATCCAACACTGACACCGATACATTGAGCAAGATGAAAATTCACATGAATTTTTCACATAAAACATGACACTCGAGAGCGACTCCGTGCCCAGCAGCCCCTCAGGCCTTCACAGCACCTGCGCCCTTGGGCTCCGGGGGCAGAGTTGGAACTGCACTTCCGGCCCAGAGCTAAGCGGCCCACGCAGCAGCCAGGAGGAGACCGGCGGAGCGCCAGGGTCCTGGGTCAGGCCGAGACGAGAATGGAGTGCCAGCCCCGGCACCCAAGCGCAGAGCCCTGATGATAGTTCAGGTGAGACGAAATGAAAGGGATTCATTCCGTAAGAGAGCTTGCAAAGCGGTCTCCCGAGAAGCTCTCAAGTGCTGCTCAGCCTGTCATTGTCGCTAAATGGACTCATAACTGCGTGCGGGTTTTCATGCGGAATCTATCCGTCATCTGGTATGCTGGGCCCAGGGCGCCCCGGCCGCCCACAGCCCACGTGTCCTCCCAGATCTGCGTCATGTGGCAGGGTGCGTTGTCTTTGGCCCCTTTTCTAATTCCTCGCACTCAGCGTCAGGCCTTCAGACCCTCGTGGCTCGTGGAAGCTGGAGCTGCTCATCCAGCGCACCTGCTGCCAGGGTCGGGCCCACGGAAGGGCTTGAGCCTGCAACGTGGCCTGCACACTGGACCAAGACTTCTCCCCGTGGCACGAGATGCAGCCCAGCACGCAGCAGGAGCTTCAACGGACCAGGGTGGTGCTGACAAGGATCCTCACGAGGCCTGGTCCACAAGGACGGCACAGAGGTGGATTCTCCCCCTGGGGGTGTCTTATTCCTCGGCTGTCACTTTGCCCTCCTGACCTCCCTGGGAGGAGTTGGCAGAGCCACCACCTCACTTACAGATGGGGAAACTGAGGCCCACAGTGAAAACCAGATGTGCCCACTGCACAGCTCAGCAGTTGTCAGAGTGAGCCTGCTGGGTGTGGACCTTCAGCGACTCGGGCTGGGCTTGCAGTGACAAGGAGGGCTCCTGCTCCCTCCAACTTTTTGGCAGGGAAGCCCAGCAGCCTGGAGAGTGGGAAAGCGTGCTCTGGGTCTGGCAGACCCAGGTTGGAATCTTGCCCAACACAAAGTGTGCAGTGAATGCTCTACACAACTCTGTGTGAGACATGGGCTGCATCTCATTTCTAATAAGGAAACTGAGGCATGAAGAGAGTGAGCTGGGCCCAGTCTATCTGAGGCTCTTCTTGAGACTGAGCTACTTTTCTGGGCGGGGCCTAGTACAAAGGTGGGCTTTGCCCCATGCCTCCCCCGACGTTCTGGGGTCCCCAGGTGCGCAGCAGTGCAGCCCGGGCTCTGCAATGCCCCTCCCTCTATTTCCTGTGGCTGCACAGGACATTCTGGGGTTCCCAGATGCAAACCTCACAGAAGGTGGGGGTAGGTGGCCTTGGGAAGAGAAGGGTCCTGGTCCTACAGCCAGCAAGCAAAGCCAGAAACTCGCCCAGGACCACACAGGGTGCAGTGCAAACCCTGGACCCACGGATTTCTGAACGGCCGCTCAGTATGGCACCCAGGACCCCCAGAGGAGCTCATTCAAACCAGCCGCTGCTTCCTGTGCACGCAACAGGGAAGCCCAGTGCACCCCAGACACCAGGCAGCCCTTCCTCCAATGGCTGGGCCCTTGCAAGTGGAACTGGGAGGGTGACCCAAGGGTGGGAGGTAAATGTCTCACACCCGAGCCACTGATCCAAAGTAGGGAAGAGAACCTCACGGGCCAGGCTGTGGAAGGCCAGAGCTCAGGATCAGCCACCTCCGGCCAGCACGTACCTTCCTCTTGTTGGTCGGGCAGATATAGAAGTTGTCGATGATGGTGGTGACGCCAGGCTGCAGGGTGAGCTTGGTGTAGGACGTGCCGAAGTCCGATGACCTGTGGAAAGGGGCAGGTGTCAGCAGTGCCCGCTGATGCAGTGTGGGCCAGGCCCACTTCCTACCCAGCACACCATGCTCCAGCCCAGGGGGAGCCCCGGAGGCCCTGGGTGTCATCCCCTCCATCTGTCCTGGTGTACAGTGGGGAACCTGGCCTGGTCAAGTGCCGAGAGGACTTCCTGGCTCTGAAGCCCAGCTTGTCACCTCCTTGCGGCACCAGCTGTGTCAGCACTGCCAGGGCCTTTGTCACTCTGACACCTGCAGAACCTGACAGGCCAGGTCACTGTGTCCACTTCACAGGTGACCTAAAGGAGGCCCGGAGGGGACACTGCCTGAAATCCCTCACCCACGCAGTGCCGACTCAGGGTGAACGCTGGCCCGTCTGATGCCAGTCTGGAATCCTGTCTGCACAGAAGTCCACCTCTGTCACTGTGGTGGCCCTGCTCACCTGCTTCCCCCCTGAACCCCAAGCTCACCAGAGCCCCAGCACCCAGGCTGACCACATGGGATCCAGGCTGACAGTGGGAACAGGTTGGCAGGGGACAGCTGGGCACCTGCTGGGTCCAACCCCATGGGGCCTGGGTCATGGGGGGTGGAAGAGCGGGTCCCTGACCTCCCCAGCTGGGGCTAATCCCTCCCACTGCGGGGAGAGGCAGGTAGGGCCCAGACATGGAAGCCATGGGGCTCATTCCACACTGAAACTGAAGACCCAGTGACCCTGAAACCGAGCCCTTGCGGTCACAGCGGAACACACAGGCCGGGCTGATGTGCGCTGCTGTGCTGGGCAGGGCTGGATGGTGCCCAGCTCTGGGCCGCTCTAGTCTCAGCCCTCAGCACGAGTCTGCATGGATACGTTCCATCCGCAAGTCTGCACGTGCAGCCGCCAGTCTGGGCATTTATCACCTCTGCGGGCGGCCGTGCGTCCTTTTGTCCTTCTAGGCCCAGGGGTACAGGGTCCCTCCAGGCTGGGACAAGGGCCAGGCCCAGAGCCCCAGCCCTCGCAAGGCTACTGGGGTGACTCAGCCAGCGCAGCCCCTCCTGGGGGGCTGGGGACCATCTGGCCTCTGCACTCCTGGCTGTCAGGAGGACCTAGCCTTGGAGAACAAAGACATGCCTGTCTCATGGAGGAGGAATTAGGGAGCATTTACTCTCTAAACCTCCAGGAATTGATTTCTTAGGCAAGAAGGGAACTAACGGAGTACCCCATTAGCAGGGGATCGATCCAGACACCCAGGCATTCCAGACACAGGCGGAAACAAATGGCTGTGTTTATGAGCTTGAGGCTGTGAGCATCATGCTGGCTGGCCTAGCCATCCCTCAGACTTTCCCATCGATTCCACCCCTCCGCGTGCTGCCATCCACGGCTTCAGCCCAGATCCAGCCTCCCAGGACCCAGCCAGCCTCTTCGCTCCTCCCACCTGAGCCAGCTGCCCACAACGCCAACTCGCGGGCACTGCCAGGTGTGGGCCAGGAGTGGACAACAGGAGCAGGTGCGCAAGGGCCCTGCTGGCCCAGAAACCCACCTTGGGGTGCGTGGAGTGGGAAGGTGCTAAATACAGCAGCAAAAATACAACGGCCTCAGGGTAAAGGCCTGGCAGAGGAAGAAATAATGCAGCGGGCAGAGGGGACGGAAGGCAGCAGGGTCTCTGTCTGTGCAGGCGGAGCTCGGACAAGGGGACACACGGGCTGAGACCTGAAGAGGAAGGACAGGCCACTTCTGGCTGGGTCACTGGCTCTTGGGTTGAGCGTCGTCCCCCAGAAACATCCCCGGAAGTTGTGAATATGGCCTCATTTGAAAGCAGTCTTCACAGATGTGATGGGGTTAAGACGGGGTCCCTCTGGAGGAGGGAAGCTGCTACACACAAGTAAGGGACAGACGTAAGGGGAAGGGCTGTGTGGAGAGGGAGCCCCGGACGGAACCAGGCTGCGGCACCCTAACCTCAGGCTCTGGAAGAATACATTTGGTTGTTTCAGCCACCAGCTTCCAGTGCTTCACCACAGCAGCCACAGGAAATGGAGAGAGGGTCTGCAGAGGTGAGCAGGACAGCCATGGGCATGTGCAGAGCCCAGGACATCAAGCTGAGGGGGGCCCAGGGCCCTCACCAGGCTGCCCCCACTCCCAACCCAGCCCTAACCCACCCCACCTCCTTTCGCCTGCCATGACCATGCCTCACATAAGCAGGGGCTCTGGGCTCAAAGTGGGGAGTGCAGCCTGCTGGGAAGACCCCATAGCAGAGGGTACAATCGTCCTGTGGCCACCATGACAAGACCCCACAGACACGGGCTGAAGCCAAGACACACCGTCCCTGGGCAGCTCTGGAGCTCATGAGTCTGAAATGGGCTGGGGGCTGAAACTGAGGTGCTCGCAGCTGTGAATGCTCCAGGGACCCCTTGTCTCTCCACTTCCTAGAGGGCCCTGCGTCCTTGGCTTGGGGCCTCAGCCTCCATCTTCAAAGCACCTCCCTCTGCCAGCCTCTGTCACAATGCCGACTTCTGGGGACCATTTGCCCTCTGGGTCCTGCTCAGGACCACAAAGAGCACAGGGGGGTAATCTACAATCCCCTTATTGTAAAACCCTAACCCCACTGCAAAGGGAACACCCTCACACATCCTGGGCATCAGCACTGGCCGTCTCTGGGGCTTTTGACGGCAAGCAGGCACTCGAGCCAGGGCTGAAGTATGTGTAGGAGCCCACTGGGAATTAATGGAAGAGGCTGATGGGCTGGAGTAGGAGCGGTCCCCGGGGCAGAGGTGGCCAGACCCGCTCGGTCATACACACCACTGACCAGGCAAGACCACCAGCACTCAGGAAGTGGAGCATTTATCCCAGCAAAAGCACACTGTAGCTGTGAAATACATGCTGATTTCAAAGAACCTAAAATCCTTCATTATAACTTTTATGTGGATCACATATTGACATAGTAATATGCTGGATATACTGAGTTCGCTACAATCTGTTATTCAAATTAATTTCATCTGCTCCTATTTTTAATTAATCGACTCCACTCTTACTGAAGCTTTTAGTTCACAGCAAGTTCGAGCAGTAATCAGAGGCTGCACCCCGCTACACACTGTCCACGCAGTGGCACGTGTGGACCTGCACGGTCACTGCCTCATCCCCTGGAGGCCACGGTTTATACTGGGGCCACTCTCAGAGTCGGACAGATGTACGGTGACGGGGCTCCCTGGTTTCAGATCAGAGTGGCCACCACCCTGGCCGTCCTCTGAGCCCCACCCGCTCATCCCTCCCTTCCCACAAGCCCCAGGGACATGGACCTTCCTGCTGTCCCCGCGGTCAGCTTCTCCAGAGCGTCCTGCAGTGGGGTCGTGGGGCGGAACCTCTCAGAAGGCTCCCCTTCTTAGCAGGTGTCCCCACCTGGAAAGTGCTGCCCCACGTGTGGCTGAGTAGCCGTGTGGGTCACAGCACAGCCACCACGGCCTCATCAGTGCTGCTGGCCCAGGAATAGCCGGCGAGTATGACTAGGGACAGGGCCCACGTTCAGGAGGTGCAGCGGTGTGACTTGGGCTGGACGAGGGGTCGGACGGAGGCAGGAGACGGAGTGGACACAGGCGAGGTGAACGGGGAAGCTGCTGTCAGGCACCTCGCGAGAGGAGGGTGAAGCGTGGGGCTGGGCATCACGACGCCCTGCACGAAGGCTGCAAGATGCAGCCACACACTATGGGGTCCCGGCCTCAGCTTCTCCTCAACTAAGCACCAGAGGGTGGGGCCGGGGTCACTGGTGGCCAATGAATGCAAGAGTCTGCGACCCAGGCCCTGATGCTGGGCTGGTTACTGGGAAACTCCTGCATGGACAGCATTTCCTGGTGGCATCTGAGAGTCCCTATGTCCTGGGTCCCCTGTCTCTCAGACATATGCATCCTGCTCTCTGCAGTGTGCCTGGGTCCTGCTGCTGAACACTACTGTGAAATCCAAAGTTCCACGAACAATGCAGACAACAAACAAACAAACAACAGCAACAATCACCACAAAACTCTTCTGAACACCTCCTGTATCCTCAGCGCTGTGCTAGGAGCAGGTCTCCAGAAGACGTGGCTCTCGTCCCAGGAGGGCAGGGGAAAGACCCACCGGGGCACCAGACGACAGCCATCCGCTCTATCAATCCTGGGGCTGGGAGTCCAAAGTCCAAAGTCAAGGTGTTGAGCCACGCTCCCTCTGGAAGCAACAGGGGAGGATCCTTCCTGCGCCTTCTGCCTCCGATGGCTCCAGATGTCTGTGCTCGTGGCCACATCACCCTGGTGTCTGCTTCTGTCTCACACGGACCTTGTGACCCACCCTCCACCCAGAATGATGGCTTCATCACTCTCCTTAGCTAAACACGGTCTCAGGTCTAGCAAGGCCACATTATGAGGTTCTGGGAGGCCCCAGATTTGGGGTGAGCTTATCAATACAAAGAGAACTCATGGGCTGGGGATTTAGCTCACAAGCACAAGGTCCTGAGTTCAATCCTGGGTACCCCCCTAGAAAAGAGGACTTGCATTAGATGCCTTCCTGTCTGTGGCACCCATTTTTCTGTAGAGAAACAGACAATCGGTGCAGACAGTGAAGCCTGGCCCAGTCTGAGGTCCCCTGACCCTGGGTCCCAGGAAGAAGGTGATGTAGACGGACAGGGAGCACACACACCCAGGAGATGTCAGGACCCAGGAGGGAGGGACACCCCCTTTCCAGGCCACCACCAGGCACAGGCAAGCTATAGGTATGCAGCTGTGAGTGACGTCACTTCCGGGAGAAGTTCAGCTGAGGGGACGTGTGGGGACCATGAAGGCTGTGTGGCCCCAGTGATGGGGCTGGCCACATTCCCCCAACCCTTCCCCAGGCTGGCTGGGGGCTACTGGGATCCAGGCCAGTGCTGGGTGCAGCCAGGGATGCTGGGAGTGAAGGTTGGCAGCCCAGGGGGACGGGGCACTGTGCCCACTCAGCCTTCCCTACCCAAGGAGAGCCCATCTGCTGGAACCACTTCCTCCTGCCGCGACTTCTGGTGG